GTCAGCAGCAGACGAGGAGAAACACCGTAAGGATTCTCGGTAAGAAGTGATTCGGAATGATAGTCTAACGAGGCTATGCCATTCGTGCCATTCGATACCATACAGGTGGAGGACAGAGACGCCGAAGCAAACGAGAAACGATTTTGCCAGCTGGGTAGCTCTGGAGCGATGATTTCACCCTTAACTGGTCAGATTTCGTGTGATTCAAATTACTCTGAACTTTCCCTTCCCACCTCGGACAGCTTACGATTGATCACCTACGGAATGATCACGCTCATTTTTTTGGCGATCACCATCTTCTAGTTGGGCGTATTCATCGTCTGAGCAGCACTCAACCGCGGTACTGCAATCTATATCATCTGAAAATAACAAATTTCATACTCTTCAAACAAGGAAACAAAAAACAAGTCTCAGGGCCCGTCTTACGCTGGGGAGAGAAATTTTGTTATAGTTTTTTATAGTTGATTTTTCGTGTTACACGCACTTGGAGACTTCAGTTGGAGGAGAGGGATCGCATTTATTATACTTTGCTTTGAGAGGGATGATCGCACCCTGGCCTTAGGAAAGTTTTTTTTCGTGCGTAAGAAAATCCTCATCTCTTGTTGGCGGGACTGTCAGCACAGTCAAAGTCCTGTACGACTATAACTTTTGAATAAATAATATAACATTTGCTCAACCCCGTCCCCCTTCCTCTCGATGGTAGTTAGGAGAAGAGACAAGAGAACTTTTAGGAAAGTGGGGGGAAAAAGTGGTGGGAAATGAAGAAATCTTTGAGAAATCTTTGGTAGGCAGGATGTGGAAAGAGGTTGAACCAGTGGAGGAAACCGGGGGTTGTAGCATAGTAGGAATTCGGTTGGGTGGCTAAATTTTGCAGTTTTTCCCGAGTGGCAGAACCTGCCCTGCCATGCACACCTACCTCCTTCGTCAAACTGCATCAAATCGACAATTTCCTCTTTCTGGCCACGCTCACGATCTTCCAACATTTCCATTTTATCCAGATACAACTGTAGTATCAAATAAATTTTTCCAAACGCAAGATCGAACTGATAACCACCTACTTTCGTGGGCTCAAGTACAGTGTTGCCGATGTTCTGTATAGCAGAGCCGTTCGATTTTTTCGGAGGTGCAGGTATATTTTCAACGTCAACAAGAACTCCTGTCTTTTCTTCTGCTGGCGTCCATGTGTT